CAAAAAGAACGAAACAGCATGCTGTCCGCAGATTGAGTACATGTAGCTAATATGTATGGCAAACTGGCTGCTTCAGGCTTCTTTGATTCACGAGCACCACCGAGTCCTGCAAGGACGTGTGTGGTTTACAAAAAAATTAAGAAAGGCGTAGACGTTCCGAGCATGAAGCTCTGGATTTGATTCCCACTGTGTACAACTGTTGCCGGTGATTTATTTTATTTTATTTATTTCACCTTCCCGTGGCCAGGGAATATAGGCCAATATGGAGGGAGAGAGGGGGGGGGGGGGGGGGGCGTTAGCCAGCCATGGCAGTAAGTAAAAGCAAAGCAAAATGACAAATTGCAAGAGGCAATAACCTACATAGGGCAAGGCAAAGAGAAACAAATCTTAAACGCGGATATGCGAAAATTTCCTTTTACGATTGTTGCGCTCCAGTGCTGCATTGTTTTGTTGCTTTTAGAAAGCAGTTTGCAATCCTTAACTCGGCCTCTATATAGAGAAACCGAGTCTGACGCGAACCGTGAATTTTTTTCAATCCTATTCTGCTTTTCTTCAAGCCCATTCTGCCTGTTCTTTTCAACGCAAATCTGTGTTGATGCCAATTAAACTCCGTCTGCTTCCAGGCCATACCGGAAGTGCCGGGCGTCTCCGCTGTCGAAGTCTACCTGTTCACCCTGGAAACGTTCCTGTTCCACGAGCGGCACCTGGCACTGTACCAATCCCAACTGTCAGCAGCAGCAGCAGCCACCGCTGCCGGGACTTCCTCTCAGAGGGCTTCGAGCCACTCTGTTGAAGGTGGTGGCAGTGGTGGCAGTGGCACGCATACAACAAGCAGCAGCAGCAGCAGCAATGCCGGCGGCATGCCCGTCATCACGTCGGCCGAGCTGTCTGAGACAGCGCGATACATTCTGCAGCAGGTGGCCGCCCTGCGCGGCGTCACGCTGAAGGAAGAAATCTGGTGGTGAGTAGGGGAATTCCCCCTAAGCATCACATTGGGTAGTAGTCCAGTTCAAAATAATAAGCAATCAGGTTTTGGTAAAAACTGTATGAAGATCACAAAAAGTTGAAGCTCAGCAGCCCATTCGTAAAAAGATGAACTTCTAGCTTTTGGTCATAAATGCGTCAAACTTTTTAAAAACTCTCTGTAAGTTTGTATCCCTGGTGATGTTTGTGCCTGGAGAGCACTATATAAGTGGTGCTCTTCAGGCACAATCTTCCTCAGCCTACTCAAGCTCAACTGATGAGGGGTGAATTCCCCGAAACACTGTGTATTGAGCAGGGAGTGGTGCTTTCTTGCAGGTTTGCCGAGTCGAAGGTTCGATGGACTTCTCGTGTGCTCTGGATGGCAGTCGTGAGTCAGTCAAGTGTCAAGTAAAGTCGGCGGAATAGCGCGAGCTCCGGTGTGGGGAGTAAACCCTTTCTTACAAACTTTTTAAAGTTTTTAGCATTTTTCTGCAATCTCCTATGGAATCCTCTTCTAATTAGGTTTCTGAAGTCTGTTTCTCCAGAAAGCAAGCTGTAACAAAAATAGGATTTCGGCCAGGTTTTGCCCCAAAAGCACTGAATTGCGAAAAACCAGGAAATCCAGGCCGTTTCACTCCATTTTTCAACAGTACATTGTGCGCTTCAAACCCCAGCTGAGGAACCTTTATTATAACCCTTTTCAATTTCAAATTTCGTGGCACTGCACCGTGTACGATACAATTACGAAAAATTGCCAAAATATGAGAAAGGGGCTCGCCAGAGTGAATGGACTGAAGAACAGGCTTTTCTGGGTGTGGCAATTGTTCTGTGGAGGTTTAGAGGAACAATTGGGACAGCTGTTTTAAAAGAGTTAGAGACACGGTCAATTGTTAGACCTTTCCAATGGATTAGAATTGGCAGCAAAGAGACCACTTGCTTGTGCGGTGACGCAGGGTTTTCTGTGTCACTGTAAAAGCAGAAATTTTCGGTGGTGTTTTATTTTCGGTAACTTCGGCGCGGACGATTTCTACCGAAAATAAAACGCACCAAAAATGTCGGTACCGTATACATTTAGTACTAGTACACGTACCTGAAAAACGGGTTTTACTGAAAATTTCCCTCCACCGAACCGCCGATTTTGGAGAATACCGAAAATATTACACCACCGAAAATTTCTGCTTTTACAGTATCTGAAAAGTGATGAAATTGATGAAACGGGTTTTGCATTCCGGCTCTTCGTTCAGTAATTGTGTTAGTGTTGTTCATTTCTCCCTTTGCACAGCCAATGGCTAGCCGGTAGCAAGACCCTGTCGACCAGCGGCGACATTGTTCTAACGAGCGACGGTGCACAGCAGACGCTTTACGCTGCACGACTTCTGAAGGAAAACTCCCAGCTCGTACAAAGCCTGCCAGAAGCAGAAGTGAGTAGAACTGGCCTGCTCTTGGGGCTAGTCGGTGCGGGGCAGAAGCGGGAGGGGGCGGAGCGGTAGGGAGGGCGGAGTTGGAGGGGCGGGGCGGTAGGGAGGGGGAGGGGCAGAGCGGGAGGGGAGTGAGTAGAACTGGCATGCTCTTGGGGTTAGTTGGTGCGGGGCAGGAGTGGGAGGGGGCGGCGCGGTAGGGAGGGCGGAGTTGGAGGGGCGGAGCGGGAGGGGAGTGAGAAGAACTGGCCTGCTTTCGTGGTTAGTCAATGGGCAGGGAGGGGTGGGAGAGGGTTGAATCCTTCTATCCAGGAAAACAATGCAAGACTGTCCCCCAATTTAGGTGCATCGCAGTCATCCAATTTTGCAACATCAAGTTTGAGCATACATGTGACCTTTGCTGCATAAACAAAAGAAATGTCATCAGGGTGTAGGCAGATTATCACTCTTGTGAGATGCCACAGTTCTTCCGGTTCTTCTGCTGCACCCCCCCCCCCCCCCCCCCACACACACACACACAAAGAGCAACAGATTATCGTGGCAGGAAGCAGAGAACCAGAATGCTCTCTTCCACTATACCCTATACTGCTCCTGCCAGGTGCAAGCGTGGAAGGACTCGCTAGAATCGGTGGCTGAAGGACTCCTGAAGCACGCCAGGCACCTGGCATACAAGATTATACTGGAGTCCGGGCTGGACGACTGGAACAGTCTCCTCCAATGTACAAAGTGAGTTGCAAGTACATGTGTGTTTTAAGCCTTGGGAGGGGGGGGGGGCATGGCAAAACATTTTCCCTATGCAAGTACACGTACATGTACGGACAAGGCGCTCTGTCCCCTCGTGCATAGAGCACTCGGGCGAGGCGCCCAGACTGGCCCTGACTGTGACTTTTAGAGCATGCTGCCGCAGTGGTCACTTTTCGTCCCCTGGCGTGTCGTGGCACTCTGTCGTTACACACTTGTGCAAGCGTGCATGTCTCCTTTGCTTCTCTTGTGTGGGCAGGTGCATCAGGGCTATCACTGAGCTGTTGCTGTACAGAGCCTGGTTTCCCAGCATGGCAAACTGCAAGACGCGCGTCGTCGGGGCTGTTAAGGCAAGTACAGTCGAATGTCACTTATCCGACCACTTCGGGAATCAGGCGTGTTGGATAACTGGATATGTTTGATAACTGATATCATTTTTATGTGCGTATATGGCTGGATTTCTCTGATTTATGTACACAATACCCAAATATTCATGAATTGCTCCATGTACACATACATATTAGCATACTTGACCACATCTACTTCAAGTAAATGCATATTACACCGTATAATATACAAAAAAAAGTTTGTACAGTCGAATGTCACTTATCCGACAAGCCCGGGAGTGGTAATTTTATGACTCTCAACAGTAAAATTCTTTAAAAAAACTTTTTCTTTTTTTGTATATTAAACGGTGTAATATGCATTTACTTGAAGTAGATGTGGTCAAGTATGCTAACATGTATGTGTACATGGAGCAATTCATGAATATGCATGAATTATTTGGGTATTGTGTACATAAATCAGTGAAATCCAGCCATAATATTATATGCACATAAAAAATGATATCAGTTATCCAACATATTCAGTTATCCAACATGCCTGATTCCCGAAGTGGTCGGATAAGTGGCATTCGACTGTACTGCATTTTCCAGAGTATAAGCTGCACTTTAAAAAGTGGTGAGCGTTCATGCAGCTTCATACATAATGCCTTCTCCCCTACATTGACTCCTTCTGCATTCTTTTCTTGCTGGCCTGCGGCATGCACCCCGTACTCACCTTTTGTTCCGTTGGCCTGGGTAGCTACTTGCGCACCCCTAATTGGGACGTGGGGAGCCCGCTCACCCACGTCAGAGTACAATGTGAGTATATGAGGGTCACGTTGGGGAGCCCGCTCACCCAACGTGCCATAGTTCAGCGGCTTCTTATGGTAAGTTCTGCTGCATTCTTGGTCTTGCTTGCGTGATACTCTGACCTCTTGCGCGGTGACGGTTTTGGTTCTTGCACACGTCTCCTGTCTTGCACTTAGCTCTTGTTATACAATGTCATATTAGTCTTGGCTCTTTGCACGAAGCGCCGAGGCATCGTGGAAACCTGTAGAACATCGTAGTGACGTGGTTTTGCACAAAGCCTGGAGTCACATTTCCAGGAAGTGAAGAACTTCCAGGAAACGTACAACGCGAGAACCTACCTGACCAGGTTCCGGCCTTGGATCACATGACGTGTCATGCCAAGAAGGCATGTCACCTATGTGGGAAAGCGGGTGTCGCTCAACCTACAGGCTAAGCACGTGGGACAAGACACTGGCCAAACCACATTGTACCAAAAGGGCGTGACAGCTCAGCACAGAGCTGCTCACTATGTAGATCCTGCTGTCACAGGACTATCAGGCAGCAGTTGTCTTATTCTGGGACGTGACAGAAGGACCAAAAGAATGGACGAAAGAAAGGACGAGTGAACAAACGAATGGAAGACCGAATGGGGAGAGGCATTGTTAAACTAACAAATCTTGATGCTAACCTTGTTTTCCTTTCTTCTTTGATTTTACTCAGGAAGTAACAAAAGAATGGTACCTGACATCAATTGACATTGCACGTAATGACAAGGTATGCATCAGTGTGTGTGTGTGTGTGTGTGTGTGTGTGTGTGTGTGTGTGTGTGTGTGTGTGTGTGTGTGTGTGTGTGTCTGTGTAGTGTTGTTGAGCTGGAAGTCGGTTTGCGATTTTTTTAGCTCTGGCGAAAATGGAGTTGTAGCTGCCTTCAGCAGCCATGGCTGTGTGGTGTAGACCAGGCCATGGCTGCGGCAGCATGTCTCTCAGAGGAGTTGCGACCCGCTGAGAGTAGTTTCACACAGAGCACTAGAAAAACTGAGTTGGAGCAGGCGCTTGAAATTTTGAATTTTTTGAGCGAAGAATGAAGTCCAAAGGGAATGGAACGAAAAGGAATTTGTCCGTGGCGACGTGGAACGTCCGCTCTTTGGTGGAGGATAGTGGAGATGCCAGAGTCTGTCGTGCTGTTCCGTCCGTGACTGCGACTGCTGTTGACAGGAAAGTGGATTTCCTCGTCGATGAATTTCAAAAATTCAAAATCGACATTGCAGGCGTGCAGGAAACAAAGTGGTTCGGACGTGACATTTGGCGTGTCGGCGGCAGCACCTTTCTACACTCGGGACGGCCTCTGCCTGGCGATGGTGAGGCAGCGAGACGCAACGAGGGAGTAGGGATAATGATGAACACAGAGTTCACGGCGAAGTGGCGGCGCGGTGGCGAGCAGTGGAGCGCAATCAGCTCAAGGGTCATCATGGCTCGCTTTCTCATCGGCGAGAGGGATGAGGTCCTGCAGGCTGGCAGGAGACGCCGCTCTGATTATTTCCTGACGGTGATCAACGTTTATGCGCCGACGAGCAAGGCCCCTCCAAACGTCAAGAATCAGTTTATGACGGATTTGCAGTCAGTTGTGTCTGACGTACCTCCTGGTGATTTATTTGTGCTGTTGGGAGATTTCAATGCACGTGTTGGTTCTGGGCAGCGGGCTGCAGGTGGTGTTGGCCGTTTTGATGGGGTGCCAGATGATGAAATTGTTTGGGGCTCTGCTGTTGGTCAGTTTGGTTTGGGCGCGTGTAATGGAGCTGGTGAGGATTTGTTGATGTTTTGTGCTGCAAATAATCTGTCAATCATGAACACATGGTTCCGGAAGAAAGAGTCACGTAGAGGCACCTGGACACATCCTGCTACCCGTCAAGCACATGCCATCGACTTTGTTATGATGCGCGCGGATCAGCGACATCTCTGCTTTGATGTTGGCGTTCTCCGTGGAGCCTGTTGTTGGACGGATCATTTCCTGGTTCGTGGAAAGTTGAACGTGGACTGGCGTGTGCGTCGCTCTGCATCTTCAAGGAGGAGGCCTTTTGCTGTGCATCGTCTTCGCGACCGTGATACGCTCGTGGAATATCAGCAGAGGATTGAATCTGTTTGCACTGCTGCTCCCGGCGCCGGCACAGCAGAGGAACAATGGGAGTCGCTGAGGAACGACATGGGCACTGTGGCCGGTGACGTGCTCGGGCATGGGCGACAGACTCAGCCGGACTGGTTCTTGTCCAGTAAGGACACCCTGGAGCCGCTCATTGCCGTCAAGCGACAAGCTAACGCAGACTATGTTTCTTGTGGCACGCCATCGTCTCGTAAAGCCTTGAGATCTGCCCAGCGAGCTGTGGGCAAGGCTGTTCGGTTAGCTAAGGAGGCGTGGATCAGCGCAATTACGGATGAAGCTGAGGCCGCCCAGAGGGACGGCTCTGTCCGCTGGAAATGTATCAAGAAGTTGCGGGGAATGCACACTGGCCGACAGTCAGTGGTGACATCCAGCGTTCGGGATGAGAATGGCAACTTGACAGACGGTCCAGAGAGTGTGGGAGCTTGTTGGCATCGCCACTTTGATCGTGTCCTTAATGTTCAGAGTGTGTTTGATGCGGAAGTCATTGAATCCATGCCAGTGCTTGGCATCAGGCAAAGTCTTGACGACCCGCCCTCTTTTGAGGAAGTGGTATCGGCGATCAGGAAGCTACACCCAGGCACTGCGGGTGGACAGTCTGGAATTGTCCCGGAGATGATTCTTGCTGGTGGCGAGGCCTTGCATGAGCGCGTCCACAATGTGATCAATGAGGTATGGACCTGCGGTTCTGCCGTGTCTGACTGGCGAAACGCAGAGATCGTCCCTATCCCCAAGAAAGGTGACTTACGGTCCTGCGATAACTGGCGTGGCATCAGCCTCCTGGATGTGGTTGGCAAGGTCTTTGCTCGTGTTCTTCAGGGTCGCCTGCAGGCGGTGGCAGAGGATGTTCTGCCGGATTCCCAGTGCGGATTCCGCAGGGGCCGTGGCTGCAGTGACATGGTATTCACCGCAAGACAACTGATGGAGAAGGCAGTGGAGCACGATTCTGAGCTATATGTGCTTTTCGTCGATCTGCGCAAGGCCTATGATTCAATTCCGCGGTCTGCTTTGTGGCTTGTGCTCCGCAATCTGGGCATTCCTCCGAAGCTGCTTGGCCTTGTCCAGTCGCTCCATGAAGGCATGGAGGCGCGTGTTCGGCTCCCTAACGTCGTCACGGACAACATCAACGTCCGGAATGGCTTGCGTCAGGGCTGCACACTGGCGCCTACGCTCTTTAATCTGTATTTCTCTGCAGTGGTCTCTTCGTGGCATCGCCAGTCTTCTGTTCCGGGTGTACGGGTCCGCTACCGTGTCGGCAGGAAGCTTGTTGGGGATCGGACCGCCAAGTCTCGACTGGCCTCCACTGACGTCACAGAGTCCCAGTTTGCTGATGATGCGGCTCTCTACACCACCTCTTTGAGCCACCTGGAGACGATGACAAACGAGTTTGTGTCCTGTGCTTCGGGTTGGGGTCTAACTGTGAGCGTCCAGAAGACCAAGGCCATGGCGGTGAACTGCTCTCACCCGCCACCTTCCATTGATCTTCAGGATGGAGGAAGCGTGGAGGTTGTGGACAGCTTTACCTATCTTGGCAGTGTCCTGAGTGCAGACGGTGCTCTGGACAAGGAGCTCACCTCCCGTCTTGCCAAGGCCTCTCGTGCTTTTGGCGCTCTCCAAAAGCCAATCTTCGGATGTAGCGGTCTATCCATTAAGTCTAAGCGTCTTGTCTACAAGGCCATTGTCCTCCCTACCCTCTTCTATGGAGCAGAGACTTGGCCCATGAAGGCCCGGCAGATGAATCGCCTGAATCTGTTTCATCGCTCATGCGTCCGTTCCATCTTGGGAGTCTCAAGGAGCGATCAGCACTCCCGTCATCTTAATACTGCTGATCTAGCCCAAAGAGCGCGTCTTCCTGAGGACATTGGCGCTCTCCTGCGTGAGTACCGTCTGCGTTGGCTGGGTCATGTTGCCCGTATGGACGCGGCCCGGATTCCTCAACAAGTGTTGTTTGGTGAGCTCGAAGCAACCAGACCACGGCATGGGCCAAAGAAGCGTTGGCGAGACACGATTGTCGGTGATCTGCGCTCGCTGGATATTCCGGAGTCCGAGTGGTATCGGCTCGCACAAGATCGCCCGGAATGGCGCAGGCGGGTTCATCAACATCGTCTTCCTCCCCCGGCACCGAAGGACTTTCATTGCGCATGCGGCAGAGCGTTTAGGAGAAGTGGCGATTTGAAGCGTCACATCAAGTACTGCCCAACTCAGTAGCCTATCATCTCCACTGGAGATGGGGCGTCAAAGGTCAAGGTCAAGGTGTGGGTCTGTGTGTGTGTCTGCGTGTGTGTGTGCCTGTGTGTGTGCCTGTGTGTGTGTGGGGGGGGGGGGGTGTTGAGGTGGGTGTGTGTATGGGTGAGGGTGGGTGTGGGTGGGTGGGTGTGGGTGTGGGTGTGGGTGTGTGTGTGTGTGTGTGCGTGTGTTGTGTGTGTTGTGTGCGTGTGTGTGTACGACAGCCCAAATCTGTCCACTCTTTGTTAGTGGTTAGAGCATCGCTGGACCCAAGCGAAGGTCCCTGATTCTAGTCCTGGTAGTGACAGTCAATTCTTTTCTTCAGACTTTTCCCGTTAGCATTTTCCCTCAGACCAATAAATATTTTGGTATTGCTCCGTATAATGTCCGCCTCACCAGTTCTGCGTATTGCTAAAAAAAATAGATCTTGTCTCCGCGTTGACTTTTCTGTCCACTGTGCTAGACCGACTTTCAGTCGCTAGTCATGCTCACTTCCAACATGGCACATGTCCTGGACGTGTGCGGGAAACTAGCGGCCAGTTTGGAGGATCAGCTGCAAACCACCGTGAAAGGACTACAAGAGTAAGTTCTGATCAGGGCTGTGGGAGAACTGGAGCTGTCTAGTCTCTCTACCACCCCTCTTCGCCCAACACAACACACCAGCGCAAACGGCAGCCTCTTGGTGGAAATGTGTACAAATACGAAAATGCAAGTTGGCAATGGACAGAGAACAAGAAAAGAACAACAAGAACACAAAATCACGAGCACTTTGGCCAGGAAAAGACACGTCTAACATGGCATCCAAAATGGCGGCAGAGCAACCGATAGGGGCTCGTCGTGGCTGAAGCTGCGATTGCAGCGACAACCACCATGGAGTGCAGGAAACAGATCTGAACACAAAGTCGAGCGAACAGCAACTCAAACAAAGCAAATAAAACAAGACCAGCTACGCAACTACGCACAGCAAGCAAAGACATAAGCGATGACATAATCAGTCACGCGTGAACACAGCATGCGCATGCAGCCTTGCAGGCGCTGGCGCGTTGCACCGAAGTTCATGGATGTGATAGTCAAGTGGTGCACGCGAGATCACGATGGTGTTGATATTTACGTTGATGATCTGTACGTCCCGAAGCTGCAAACGAAGCTCAGTCGGTAGAGCATGAGACTCTTAATCTCAGGGTCGTGGGCTCGAGCCCCACGTTGGGCGCCAATTGCCGTCGGGGGTTTTATGCCTCGGCGATAGCCCTTCCGATTACTCACGCAATCACCGGTACATCCCACGTATACCACACTCAGAGTACAAATATTTTAGTCTTACTCCAAGGAGAGTCTCAGGAAGAAGGCAAAACAACAAGGATGCGTACAATAATATGCAGGCATGCGCAACCTGCGCAGTCCGCACACCGACCACGCGGACCCAGCACACACGTGCCAAAAGGGGCACATACCCTACAAAAGGGCAGGGACAACACTTTACTCATGTCAATTCCCAATATGTGGATGGATGTATTGAATTGCTGCGTCATACTGCATAGCCATCTATGGCACCACACCACATCACTTGTGCTGCGGCCACGGCGAAAAGCACTTTGGGATGTAGCCAGGTACTGATCAACCGCTTGCTGTATCCTCTTCAGCACAATCAGGGACAGCGTCTTTCTCAAAGCCGAGAGCAGTACGATAGGGCGCGTACTAGTAAGCGGCCCTAGTGGTTTACCGGGCTTCTGCAGCAGTATTAGGGTTCCTCTGCCAACTTCGAGTTGGTCATGTGTCTCAATAGCTCGGTTCAAGATGTTGGAAGTCATCTCAGCAACAATGGGAGTGTCGTCGGGTCGGGGGGGTTTTATTCCTCGGCGATAGCCCTTCCGATTACTCTCGATATCTCATATCACACGGACGCCACACTCAGAGAACAGATTATTGTTGTTGCTCCAAAGAGAGTCTCAAGAAGAAGGCACCCAAAACAACCAGAATGCGTACGATAAGTATGCAAGCATGCGCACAACAACAAGAACATGTACGATAATCATGCAAGCATGCGCAACCGGCGCAGTCCGCGCACCGACCACGCGGACCCAGCACACACGTGCCAAAAGGGGCACGTACCCTCCAAAAGGGCAGGGACAACAGGAGGACTGTACTTGAGTAACTCTCCGGAGAGATGATCAGGGCCTGCCGCTCTCCCGTTATTCAGGCTTTGGAAGGCCCTCCTAACTTCGGACAATGTGATACGATTGGGGAGAGGGCTGGGGTCACCTAGGAATTGTGGAATGTCAGGGAGGGATTTATCATGGAATTGGCTTTCATAATGTTTGATGATGAACGCCTGCTGGTCTGCAGGGTTGATAACGATTACAATTCAAATAAACTACTTCAAGGAAAGATGAGAAGTGAAACGACTAGAACTAGAAGAAATAGAACAGAATATAGAACAAGGACAATGGAAGCGAACTAAAGATGAAGCTACAATGAGGTAAGAGGCATGACACACTTGTCGTCGGGGGGTTTTATTCCCTCGCACGATAGCCCTTCCGACTACTCTCTTATTCATACATCACACGTACGCCACACTCAGAGGACAGATTATCATTGTTGTTCCAAGGAGAGTCTCAGGAAGAAGGCACACAAAACAACCAGAATGCGCACGATAAGCATGCAAGCATGCGCACAACAACAAGAACATGTACGATAATCTCCAACCGGCGCAGTCCGCGCGCGGTCCGCACCAACGTGCCAAAAGGGGCACACACGTGCCAAAAGGGCAGGGACAACATACTTCCACATGAAAAAAATGCATCCTCTCCTGAGGATGGGAGAGAAGAAAACAAAACGAGAAGACTGCCAGGAGAAAAAGAAATCAAATGTGAACAACATACACATGCAGATACGCAGGGCCAAAACAGTAGGATACATTAGTAACTCCGGACAACGGGGGAAAAGCCAAAGCAAAGGGGTGGAAAGAAAACAGACTGGGCCCACCCATAGAGGGAACCGCCATCTTTCAGGCGTGGGCCCCCGGAAACAACCACCTCGCCCTGGTGCGAAGCCAAGGCAAACCGACGCTACTGCGAAGACCGCGGCAGCTGAACCGGGTGACCAGTCATCTGACAGCACAGGAGTTGTCCGGAAAACCATCGCGCAGCTGATGGGGCTACGAAAACTCACAGAGACATACACAGAAAGAAAGAAACACGGACTGACGCAAACATCTCAGCAATACTAGGAGCCAAAATTCAGACAAGAAAAACCACAAGAAGGAATGGCAGAACAGCAACATTGAACACGCCTACGGATACAGGGGCAGTCTATCCATGAGGACACCAGATAGCACACAAACAAATCGGTCACCAATACGCAAACAAAAATTAACATAGAAAAACCACAGGGCGCTACCCTGAATAACCACAGGCCTCTAACCTGAAAAAACCACAGGTCTCTAACCTGAAAAAACCCACACTAGGGCCACAGGGATTGAACCTGAATATCACGCGTGAAACACATCCGCTCACGAAACACAAAAAAACACCGTCCTGAACCCTACTGGGACGCACAAAGGCCAGCCAGCAAAACACGGAAACCGAACACCCGCAAGGCGAACCGATACAAATAAGCGCTGGATCCCACCAGCCCACCAGGCAGACCGTGGCTCACCATGATCGGACGCCCCCCTAGGTGAAATGAAGAGACCCACGTGCCAAAACACAAATACCAAACAACACACTCACAGAAATATTGCCACCCGGACCGTCAACGAGAATCTCAGAAGCATGTTGCACCACTGGGCGTCAGCCATTCCACATGAGCGGGACAACCAGGCGGAGCACTAAAACGCTCGACACAAAACATGAATACTAGTAAAACGAAAAAGAAAGCACGTGTACTTGAAACTGGAAACGACGGAGTGCCACCACATCGAGTAAATCGATGGGGACATCTACCAAACTGAAACAAATCGAACGACACAGGATCGGAGCAGTCCGACGACACCGAAACGACGTGCACCAGTGCACAACACAGGGCGAGTAAGCAAACACGAGCAAAGCTACCCATGCTGACTACCATGATGACGTACCAAGCAACACGATGAGCATGCACGACAGCACGGACAACAGAACTTTCAAGTCAGAAGGTGTGAAAACACAGTGTACACGACCACTCGAACAGCCAGAGGCCGGAGGGCGACAATGTACACTTGTTCAAAACACCGCACACACAACGTGGGCCACAATCATGTACTAACAGGAGCGGGGCTCGAACGAGGTACTTGTACACAAGAGAACAACACGGGACTTCAATGCCACGAAGCGAAACAATTATTTGAAAATCCCAAATCGAAGACTAGTACCAGGAGAACTACGTACAAGGTACAAAACATTACGCAGGGCAGACAAAGCAGGCTCACCTGAGTAGGAGCTCCGAGGACAGGGTTGAGCAGATGGAGCAAAGCGGAGCCATGGCGAGGACGCGTGGAGAAGGCAAGATTTGAAGCCACGGCGAAAACGAAAACGATCTCAGGGTTGTGGGGAACGATGCCACTAGCTGGGCGCCAATTGTCGTCGGGGGTTTTTATTCCCTCGCACGATAGCCCTTCCGACTACTCTCTTATTCATACATCACACGTACGCCACACTCAGAGGACAGATTATCATTGTTGTTCCAAGGAGAGTCTCAGGAAGAAGGCACACAAAACAACCAGAATGCGCACGATAAGCATGCAAGCATGCGCACAACAACAAGAACATGTACGATAATCTCCAACCGGCGCAGTCCGCGCGCGGTCCGCACCAACGTGCCAAAAGGGGCACACACGTGCCAAAAGGGCAGGGACAACATACTTCCACATGAAAAAAATGCATCCTCTCCTGAGGATGGGAGAGAAGAAAACAAAACGAGAAGACTGCCAGGAGAAAAAGAAATCAAATGTGAACAACATACACATGCAGATACGCAGGGCCAAAACAGTAGGATACATTAGTAACTCCGGACAACGGGGGAAAAGCCAAAGCAAAGGGGTGGAAAGAAAACAGACTGGGCCCACCCATAGAGGGAACCGCCATCTTTCAGGCGTGGGCCCCCGGAAAACAACCACCTCGCCCTGGTGCGAAGCCAAGGCAAACCGACGCTACTGCGAAGACCGCGGCAGCTGAACCGGGCGACCAGTCATCTGACAGCACAGGAGTTGTCCGGAAAACCATCGCGCAGCTGATGGGGCTACGAAAACTCACAGAGACATACACAGAAAGAAAGAAACACGGACTGACGCAAACATCTCAGCAATACTAGGAGCCAAAATTCAGACAAGAAAAACCACAAGAAGGAATGGCAGAACAGCAACATTGAACACGCCTACGGATACAGGGGCAGTCTATCCATGAGGACACCAGATAGCACACAAACAAATCGGTCACCAATACGCAAACAAAAATTAACATAGAAAAACCACAGGGCGCTACCCTGAATAACCACAGGCCTCTAACCTGAAAAAACCACAGGTCTCTAACCTGAAAAAACCCACACTAGGGCCACAGGGATTGAACCTGAATATCACGCGTGAAACACATCCGCTCACGAAACACAAAAAAACACCGTCCTGAACCCTACTGGGACGCACAAAGGCCAGCCAGCAAAACACGGAAACCGAACACCCGCAAGGCGAACCGATACAAATAAGCGCTGGATCCCACCAGCCCACCAGGCAGACCGTGGCTCACCATGATCGGACGCCCCCCTAGGTGAAATGAAGAGACCCACGTGCCAAAACACAAATACCAAACAACACACTCACAGAAATATTGCCACCCGGACCGTCAACGAGAATCTCAGAAGCATGTTGCACCACTGGGCGTCAGCCATTCCACATGAGCGGGACAACCAGGCGGAGCACTAAAACGCTCGACACAAAACATGAATACTAGTAAAACGAAAAAGAAAGCACGTGTACTTGAAACTGGAAACGACGGAGTGCCACCACATCGAGTAAATCGATGGGGACATCTACCAAACTGAAACAAATCGAACGACACAGGATCGGAGCAGTCCGACGACACCGAAACGACGTGCACCAGTGCACAACACAGGGCGAGTAAGCAAACACGAGCAAAGCTACCCATGCTGACTACCATGATGACGTACCAAGCAACACGATGAGCATGCACGACAGCACGGACAACAGAACTTTCAAGTCAGAAGGTGTGAAAACACAGTGTACACGACCACTCGAACAGCCAGAGGCCGGAGGGCGACAATGTACACTTGTTCAAAACACCGCACACACAACGTGGGCCACAATCATGTACTAACAGGAGCGGGGCTCGAACGAGGTACTTGTACACAAGAGAACAACACGGGACTTCAATGCCACGAAGCGAAACAATTATTTGAAAATCCCAAATCGAAGACTAGTACCAGGAGAACTACGTACAAGGTACAAAACATTACGCAGGGCAGACAAAGCAGGCTCACCTGAGTAGGAGCTCCGAGGACAGGGTTGAGCAGATGGAGCAAAGCGGAGCCATGGCGAGGACGCGTGGAGAAGGCAAGATTTGAAGCCACGGCGAAAACGAAAACGATCTCAGGGTTGTGGGGAACGATGCCACTAGCTGGGCGCCAATTGTCGTCGGGGGTTTTTATTCCCTCGCACGATAGCCCTTCCGACTACTCTCTTATTCATACATCACACGTACGCCACACTCAGAGGACAGATTATCATTGTTGTTCCAAGGAGAGTCTCAGGAAGAAGGCACACAAAACAACCAGAATGCGCACGATAAGCATGCAAGCATGCGCACAACAACAAGAACATGTACGATAATCTCCAACCGGCGCAGTCCGCGCGCGGTCCGCACCAACGTGCCAAAAGGGGCACACACGTGCCAAAAGGGCAGGGACAACACACTGATGACAGATGTCACCACAACAAATACAGTTGCGCTCACTGAAATCCGACCCAATGTGCAAAGCTGGCACCCTCAACTTGCACGGCCCTTGACGCCCTGGCAGTGGAATGAATGCGGCTGGACGTACACATGTACACCCACAATGATGTAATCGGAACTGGTCCAGGGCGCCAGCTTTGCACTTTGGGTCGGATTTCAGTGAGCGCAACTGTACATAGTCGTAATGTTTGTCTACACACACACATTGTATCGTCACACTACACACATTGTCATATTGTCACAGGGCCAACCACAGCTGTATGTTCAGTGACGTCACAGGGCAGTGCGGAAGTGGTACGACCGGGGTCGGGGGGGGGGGGGTCCCCGGAAAATATTCGGATTTTCACAGTGCGGAGTGGTACGACCGGGATCGGGGGGGGGGGGGGATCCCGGGAAAATAGTCGGATTTTCCGGCCAACAGGGCACGTTTCAGCACTCTTTTATTGTTTGTTTTATGACAAATTGGGCAGACCATCCTGGAGGAAAAGTGGTGCGACCATGGTCGTACTGATCGTACTGCGTGTGACGCTGTTATATATGTACTCTTGTTAGATAGGTACTCATGTGTACTGTACACAGTAGTAATATACCTACTTCTGTAGCACTAGCATGATCTAGCATGATCACACTGCGCATGGTCTTGTTCATGGCTTTTTTCCAATCTACTTGTGCTGGCTGGCTGCTTATGTGCATGGGATCAGGACACAACAGACGCCCCTGATGTTCTTTTGGCACGCAGCGGTGACTGTTCTACTCTTGGCTCTTCACAATTTACACTTCACTCTCGATTCTTTGCAAGTACAGTCAGCTTTGCATACAACAACACTCGGCGGGGCATCAGAAAATCGTCCTTATTCGCGAAGTGTCCTTATACCCGAAGTCTCATTATATGTATTACAGTTAGATGGGACTTTGCTCTGGGCATGGAAATTCTGCCATTATTCGCGTATTGTCGTTATGTCTGCAGTCATTAGCGAAGTTGACTGTACCGTATTTTCTGGAAGTGTGAATTTACGTGTGTTGTCACAAATGTCTTTGTATTTCTCCTCTCTGCTCTCTCTCTGTTATCACGCCTGACTTGGTCCATTGGACGGGACTCAGCCGTCACCCTGCTGTCACGTCCCTCCTTGCGCCCTTGTCCGTTGAGTGCGTAGCTTCTGTTGTAGTTGGCTGTTGATCGTCTTGGTCTTTCAAGCAAGGAGGGACGTGACAGCAGGGTGACGGCCGAGTCCCGTCCAATGGACCAAGTCAGGTATGTATGTATTGCTTTTATTTTACATCGCAAGTCAAACGGGCAATCATGCCCAATGTTATGATGACGATGGAAAGGGAGAAAAGATTAATAAGAACAAGATTAGTTATCCTGGATTATGGGGAGTGAAGAAAACAGTGAGTCTAGGAATCTCTCCTTAGATCATCTTAACATTGGTCATGAATGTAGACTTTCAATGGACGTGAGAGTTGAGATGTGCAAGGGCAGGCCAACTAGAGGGGAATGCTAGGCTGTGAGATTCCGAAGTACATCTATTCTGTGTTTGTTATATGTAATGCATTGCAAATCCAAGGACAATCATCCCCAAACGGATAAAATCTAAGATAACCTGGATAGGTGGAGGAAAGAAAACAGTGAGTATGGAGAACTCTCGGGATAGGGAACATCCTAGCATTAGCCATGAAAGTAAACTTTCAATAAACGCTTGAATCGGCATGTTGTAGGGCATGACTTTAAAAGGACGAGGGCAAAGATTCCACAACTTAGCAGCAGCAAAAACTGGTCTGTGAGATCCCGAAGTACTGCGGATGTTGGGAAGGGGCAGATTGCAGGCATCCTGACCTCTGGTAGCACGGGGCAGTGAACTGTATTCCAGGCGTGATTTGAGCAGCAAACTGACATTGCCGTGAAGAATGCGGCGTACGAGAAGCCGCAACTTGCAATCCGCCCGCTCGACAGCCGGACAAATGCCGAGTTGGGCATACAGCTGCATAGTGTGGGCACGCGAGGGCTGGGTTGTGATACAGCGGATGCAGCTGTCGTCGGGGGGGTTTTATTCCCTCGCACGATTGCCCTTCCGATTACTCTCTTATTCATACACGTACGCCACACTCAGAGGACAGATTATCATTGTTGTTCCAAGGAGAGTCTCAGGAAGAAGGCACCCAAAACAACCAGGATGCGCACGATAAGCATGCGCACAACAAGAACATGTACGATAATCATGAAACCGGCGCAGACCGCACGCGGTCCGAACCAACGTGCCAAAAGGGGCACACACGTGCCAAAAGGGCAGGGACAACACAGCGCTTATCCAGTCTGATGAGTTTGAACTTTGTTTTTCTGCAGTCTTGGTATATCGTTTCGGAGCATCGTCAAAAGAAATCTATTAAAATGGGTGAGAGACTAAGTGACCACTGCCTCAGGTCATGTTCCTCGTGATGCGGTATAACTGCCTTTGCTGAGCGTAAGCTTACTCACTTGTGTGCACTCCCACCTGTGCGCGGCTATGTGTTTGTGTGTGTGGGGGGGGGGGGGGTGCGTGGATGTGCATGTGTGTGCGTGTCTGTCTGTGTGTGGAGGGGGGGGGGGGGGGTGCACGTGTGTGTATAATTATGTGTCCGTGTATGCATGTGTTCGAGTTCGAGTCCTGGTGGTGACAGTCAATTTTTTTCCTCAGACTTTTCCCGTTTGTGTCTTTCCCTCAAACCAGTGAATGCATTTGTATGTGTATGCATGTATACGTATATATACAGTGCTGGCAACTGAAATCCGACCCCCTTGCCGGCGCGGCGCGCCGGCAAGGGGGTCGGATTTCAGTTGCCAGCAATGTATGTGTGCCCGTAACGCATCCTGCATCACCTCGCTTTCATGCACATGTGTCTCCTGTGTCCTTCAGAGCTCAGCAGACACACCCGCTATCGTCACCCTCTGTACAAAGTTTTGCCTTCAGAAGACATCCTCGGAGGCACAAAAGCTAGCACTGATGACGTCGCTGCGCAAAATGTTCTCCACGTGCGGCCGTGTGTGGCCGCAAAGGGTCTTGCGGCATCTACAGATGTAAGCGTGAGTTCCAGATTCGGAACCCGAGTGATTTATCCCGAATCGCGACACATTTCCATTTACTCGATGCACCACAATGCACCTCGTGGCATGTCTGAACTACTGACCTCCCGCAGTGTTAAGGGCTAGCTTTCTGCCGCCTTTGATACGGGGGTGTTCCTATCTGAAAAGATGTATCTCCCTATCTGGAAAAGGGTGTCCCTATCTGGAAAGGGGTGTCCCTGTCTGGAAAAGGGCGCCCCTATCTGGAAAGGGGTGCCCCTATCTGGAATGAGGTGTTAACCTAACACTCAACGTCTATGCCGCAGCATCACATTTCTTCCAAAACAAGTTCTCGCCGTATGCAATTGCACGTCTGGAGCAGCGGACGCAGAGGCAAACCCTGCGCGCACATCACAGACCAAACGGGCACTTACTACGCCGCCAGGGGCGTGCTTGGCGAGGGGCACAGGGGGCAAGTGCACCACCCAAAATGTTTCGACCGGGGTTTTGAAAGTCACCAATGTATTGCGGAAAACCCGACCTTGCGGGAGCACATCCACAGATGAGGTGTTGAAGCTGTTCTTTCGATGCTCTCCTTGCCGAATCCTGTCCAGATACGTCAAATAGTGTGACGATTGTTCTTAGCTATATCCGTGAAATGTGTGTTTGCATCGGCCTGCCTGGCACAGTGCACTAGTGCCGTCGACGAATTGGTTTTTAAACATTTGTAAAGTTGTCATCCTTTATTTTGAAAAAATGTTTATTATGATGCTGTACGGTGTTCATTCTTGATGACATACAATCTTTGTAACAGTAATAATGACGTCACATGTACAAATATCTGATGATGTCACCGGTACAACCTTTTGAAAATTGCTGTTGTCTGGAAGTGGTGTACCCCCCTGGAAGGGGAGCCGAGCATGCCCCTGGCCGCGTAGACCATGTAGAAGTCAAAAGCACAACACAGATGTGTCGTCGGGGGGTCTCAGTCGGTAGAGCATGAGACTCTTAATCTCAGGGTCGGGGGTTCGAGCCCCACGTTGGGCGCCAATTGTCGTCGGGGGGGTTTTATTCCCTCGCACGATAGCCCTTCCGATTACTCTCTTATTCATACATCACACGTACGCCACACTCAGAGGACAGATTATCATTGTTGTTCCAAGGAGAGTCTCAGGAAGAAGGCACCCAAAACAACCAGAATGCGCACGATTGTGGAATATTGCATGCTTGTCAATAGTGCATGCTTGTTAGAGATTGCATGCTTGTCAGATATTGCATGCTTGTTAGATAATGCATGCTTGTTAGAGATTGCATGCTTGTTAGATATTGCATGAATAAGAGTATTGTCACAAACTAATGGTTCGCACCAAGCATACATACAAGCACACAAGCAATTGATTATACAGTCTTCTTTCTTCTTTCTATCGTGTCTTCTAAAGTATTTTACTTACCTTTTGCGCCATGGTACGTCTACGACGTTCCCATGGTCTTCACGTACGACATACGGTTTTCTAGCCCTTTTTCCTGGAGCTTGTCTCCTCGTGTCGTTTCTGTTTCATTGGTTTTACGTTGTCTAATGATAAGCAACAGTTTGAGTTTGAGTCTAAGAGAACCCAAGATGCGCTCGCGTTGAGCCAAAGCAGCCTTACAAGATACCATTTTGTAAATTGGTCCTTCGAGCCGGATAGCCGGATTCGAACCAGAGAAGACTAGAGATGGCAGATAGTATTGGTCCGCAGCAGAAGATCGCCAAGGCTAAGGCGAAGACGGAATATACTAATGTCCGCCGTGGGTTGCTGGTGTCCATCGTATCGGAAACCGTGAGTGTCGAGGAGATTAAATATGGGCTACTAATGCTCGAGAACAGGATGAACTCCGTGATGGAGGTTGTTTCAGAGCTGGCAGATATATTTTGCAAGAATCCTACTTATTTAGAGAGTTTGGCAAAGGAGACTGCAGAATTAGAGGTGTCGTACACTGAGGCAGTGACGCAGGCCAGCACTACTTTAGCAAATATCAGCATGAGTAGATACAACAGTGCACACACAAGCGAAATCACGGGGTTGCGATACACCCGTCACCCAGAGAGAGTTCAGGCATATTTGGAATCCATTTCAGCTACAGACAAAATACGGACTGCACAGGAGCAGCTCCAGTGGAGTAGCAGTAGCATGCAAGAATTAGATACATCCAGCACGAGTCGTAGTGTACAGGCCAGCGGCCAGAGTGAACTCAGTACTAGTGGTAGTACCGTACACATTCCCGCATCGGATGCTAACACCGCAGCTACGGAGCTTGTGTTTGTAGGCCAGGATAGTGCATGCACGAATGATGTAGTCATGTCCATGCCTGATGTATCTGGTATCCCGTCAGCAGCTACAGGGGCCACAGGGCCAGCAGCGCGCGACCTCGACCGGAACAACGTCCCAGCAGAGCAGCGCAAGCAGCAACAACCAGGTGCCGGTGTTGGCGTGAGTACAGATTTGCGTCTGGCTGTGAGCAGTAGTGACACCGGTACCAACCCTCGACAGTCGTCAGTCTCGTCACCGTACGACGTCGGACGTCAACAGATCACGCAGAACACGACGAGCACGAGTACACCAGTCTCGAGTGCTGGTTACACCAACACAACACGAACAAACGACAATCGCACATTCACGATCACAGCTGCAACACCAACGCTGCAATACGGAACAACAACTACACCAACACAACAACACAGACTCAGTTCAGCTCGTACACTAACTGCGAGTGGTACGTCGTCGAGAGTAAACACGACGAAATTTGCTCAGGGTTTCGGCACCGCGACTGACCCAGCGTCCGCTTATGGTGGTCCAGCAGCATCAGCATCAGCCTCTTTTGGAGCACATTCTCACCTGGCCCCGGCCTCTGCGAGTACGATCCCCTACGGTAGCCGCTTGCCGCTCGACGTACTCGGAGTGCCACAATTACAAGCGGCCCAGAGTCAAACCCCGCAATGGACGCAGCCAGATACGGCAGCCAGCCAGTGGCCGCCGCCGTGTAGTACAACGCCTAATTTAGCTGGTTCGACACAGTGGTCACCAGTTCCACCTGCAGCAGTGTCGTCCAACAACGCCGCTTTTGGGGTACAGAGTCTACAGACGCAGTACAATGTCAGCGGTTTGTACCCATCACCAGCTCTACCTCCACCAGTCAACGCCGTTTTTGGTGGATCGCCTGCACAGAATGGAAGTGCACTGTACCCAGGCCAACAAGCAGCATCCAATTATGGCCCTTATGGCGGAACCCCAAATGGGTATGGATTGACTGGACCAGTACCAGGATTCACACCTGGTCCTTCGCATGCACCGCAAGGCAATCCACCATCAGACGTTTACCGTCATTTAAGAAAGATCAAGATACCAACCTTTGACGGCGACAAAAAGCTATACGACACATGGCGTACGTCTTTCAACGTCTGCGTCGATCAACAGCCTCTGTCACCGGAGCTGAAGCTGTTGCAGCTCAGGCAATATCTGTCCGGTCCACCGTTGAAGACTGTTGAGACGTATGGTTACTCGGCAGCGGCCTACGCAGCAGCACTCCAGCGACTTGACCAAAAGTACGGAGGTGAGAAGCGCAAAACAGCCGTCCACATGTCCGCGCTCCAGGACATGCCAGCAATCCGTGAGCGTGGCACAGCCAAACAGCTTGAGCGTTTCGCAGATCTTGTGCAAGTCGCCAAGATTAACTTGATTGATGCTGGCCGTCAGAATGAGCTGTCGTACGGTACGTTCTGCACTCAGCTCCAGCAGAAGCTGAGCCAAGATCTGTTAACGGCGTACCACCGGTGGCGTTGCGATAACAATATTGTCGAGTCGGTCGACTCGCTATTGCAGTGGTTAGTACGGGAAGCAGATTTCCGCACGGAAGCGGAGGAGACCCTGCAGAGTGTCTCGCATAGCGTAGCAGCCACACGTCTGACGAGCAAGCCTGCCAAATCAGACATTTCCACAGCAGCAGCTCTTACCGTCACCTCATCGAGCGTAGAATGTGTGTTTTGCGGCAGCGGACACGAGTCCTCGCAATGTTCGTCCATCACAGACATCAAGCGCCGCAAGGAGCTGATACGCAAGAATGGTCGTTGCTTCATCTGTCTGAAGAAGAACCACATGGCTCGCGACTGCAAGTCCAAGCTGAGATGTAGCAAATGCGAGCATCGACATCATACGTCCATTTGCGAACCCAAGTCGTCAGAGCAGCCTGGGACTAGCGCGAAGACATCATCTCCGCCATCTAGACAAGGCGGAAGTGGAAAATGGTCGAAGCCAGTGTTTTCGTCAACAACCGCAGCTACTGTCAGCGACAGCGGAGCTGTATTTCTACAAACTGCACAGACCTCGGTGGTCTCGCCTCAACGTCCAGATCGAAAAGTGCCTGTACGAGTAATGCTAGACGGTGGGAGCCAACGCTCGTACGCTACATCATCGGTACTGACTCAGTTGGATGTGCGCCGCTCCGGTCAAGAACGTGTAGTGATAAACGCGTTTGGCGGCGAACAGCCAAGCCCAAGCACACTCCGGGACGTGGTCGAACTGGACATTCAGTGCGTCGATGGCAACCGGATTCGTGTCAACTGCATCGTCGTGCCATCAGTCTGTGCACCCGTGCAAAATCAGCACACCGCAGATGTAGTCACAGCTTACGAGTCTCTACAGAATCTCAGTCTCGCCGACAACTGTGGCGGCTCAGCTAGTATCGACATTCTACTCGGCGCTGATGTTTATTGGCAGATCGTCACGGGCGACATCGTTCGTGTAGATGATGGGCCAACTGCTCTCGATACTCGCCTCGGGTGGGTTCTGTCCGGACCAACAGGCAGGTGTAATTCAGGCATCATCTCCACTAACGTCGCAACCAATCACGCTTGCGATGTCGAACCATCTACCGTGCAAGATCCAGACAGCGCTTTGGTCCAGCTACTCCAGAAGTTCTGGCAGCTTGAATCCATCGGCATCTTGCCTAATGAACCGGACACTCTGCAGCTGTTCCAACAGACCATCCGCTACGATGGGCAGAGGTACACGGTCAGGTTGCCATGGAGGGAGGATCATCGCGCGCTTCCAGACAATTACAGTCTGTCCGAGAAACGGCTGCAGTCAACACTCAAGAAACTGCAGAAGTCACCAGAAATTCTGAAGGAATACAATGCAGTAATTCAAGAGCAACTTCAGAAGGGCATCATCGAGGAGGTGCCAACTACAGAGCACGACGTGGTGGGCGAAGTACATTACCTGCCTCACCATCCTGTCATTCGGCAGGACAAGACCACTACGAAGGTTCGTGTGGTGTACGATGCCTCAGCCAAGGTGAAGACGCATCCGTCCCTGAACGACTGCATCCACACGGGACCACCGCTGCTCGAGCAGATCACCAGCATACTGCTCCGGTTCCGAACGCATGCGGTAGCCTTCACCGCAGACATAGAAAAGGCGTTCTTGATGGTTGGGATTGAGACAGCCGACCGCGACGTCCTACGCTTCCTCTGGGTCGACAATCCCACAAGCGCTCAGCCGGTACTCAAGATGTACCGATTCACGCGTGTTGTCTTCGGTGTATCCGCTAGCCCATTCTTATTGAACGCTACCCTGCAACACCATCTCGCCAAGTTTGATCCCGAGTTCACTACGAAGCTGCTACAGAGTCTGTACGTGGACGATGTTGCGAGTGGCGGCAACAGCAATGCCAATGCGTTGGAATTGTTCAACCGTGCCAAGAATCACCTTGCAACAGGCGGATTCAACTTGCGCAAGTTTGTCTCCAACTCCGCTGAGTTGAATGAGATCGTCAATGGTACCGCAGCGACATCACTGCCGACTAACGGTCTGCCTACTGTCGCCGTGGACAACGACTCGTATGCCAAGACCATGTTGAACGGCTCATCCGCAGCCACCACCAAAGTCCTAGGCATTCCATGGGACAGGACATCTGACCGTCTCACGTTCAGCGTCGACGAAGTGTTCAGCACGACCAAGGTCGACTCGCCAGTGACTAAGCGCCAAGTCCTATCGGCGTCAGCCAAGATGTATGACCCCCTCGGACTCCTGGCACCTATCACCATCACCCTCAAGGTATTTCACCAACAACTATGCCAGTTGAAGATGGGCTGGGATGACCCATTGGAGGGAGAGTGTCTTGGCAAGTGGCAGACGATGATACGGGAATTGAAGGCCATGCCACCAGTCTCATTGCCACGGCACTACGCAACAGACGCGAACGGCAACATCACACGTGTCGAGCTACACGGTTTCTGTGACGCGTCCGAGAGAGCCTATGCAGCAGCCATCTACATTGTGTTCACGACGGAGGTGGGCACTTCAGTACAGCTAGTCGCGGCAAAGACTCGTGTTGCGCCGCTGAAGCAACAGACCATTCCCCGCCTCGAGTTGCTTTCAGCACTGGTATTGGCTCGCCTGATGGCATCCGTCTCATCAACGTTGGCGGAGCTGAAGATTGATCAGATTCACTGCTGGTCAGACTCCCAAGTGGCACTGGCATGGATAGCTGGAGTGGAGCAAACATGGAAGCAGTTTGTGGAGAGCCGGGTTACAGAGATCCGACGTCTCGTTCCGACGTCCTGCTGGAGCTACTGCCCAACAGCTTCGAACCCAGCCGACCTGCCGTCGCGAGGAGTGAAGCCTAGCGAGCTCACCAGTACCATCTGGTACACTGGTCCGAAGTGGCTACACGAGCCACAACCCCGAGCAGAAGTCGACAGCGGCTCCGCAGCATCGCAGTGTGAAGAAGTCGAGAGAGAGCGGAAGGCAACACCTACCACGGTCATGGCAGTCGGCTGCACCTCGCACAGCAGCATCGAGAAGGTCATCGATGTGAATCGATTCAGCTCACTGAGCAAACTGCTGCGTGTGACCGCTTACGTCCTGAAGGTCACAGACCTGTTGAAGCGTCGCAGCAAGACCACACATCTGTCTGCGAAGGATCTCCACAGAGCACATACACTGTGGATGGTCAACGCTCAACAGGATCTGTCCAAGGACAAGAAGTACCCTGGTTGGTGTAAGGAGTTCGGCCTTTTCACCGACGAGAGTGGCATTCTACGGTGTGGTGGACGTCTGCAAAACGCCGGACTGTCGCATGATCAAACCCATCCGGTTTTGCTGAACGCGAACCACCCGTTGACACGTCTAGCCGTCCTGCAGGCGCATGACACGGTATGCCACAATGGTGTCAAGGAGACACTAACCGAGCTACGATCCCGTTACTGGATCATTCGTGGTCGGCAATTCGTACGAAAGATTGTCGGCCAATGCACCGTTTGTCGACGTCTCGAGTCGAAGCCGTACGCTCCGGAAGATTCACCTCCCCTGCCAGAATTCAGGACCAAGGTGGACTTCCCCTTTAGTTACGTCGGTGTGGACTTCGCAGGGCCACTGTTTGTCAGGGAAGGAGCAGACACCAAGAAGGTATATATCGCGCTCTTCACCTGCGCCGTCAGCCGAGCGCTCCATCTAGATCTTGTGCCTGACCTATCAGCGGAAACGTTCCTCCGTTGTTTCAAGCGGTTTACGGCACGATTTGGCATCCCTCGGCACGTTACCTCTGACAACGCCAAGACCTTCAAGTCAGCGGCTAAGTCACTAGTGGGTTTGTTCGGTCTGCCCGAAGTCACTGACTATCTAACAGCACACGGCATGGAATGGTCGTTCAACTTGGAGAAGGCTCCATGGTGGGGTGGATTTTATGAACGGATGGTCCGATGTGTAAAACGCTGCTTGAGGAAGATTCTCGGCCAGGCACGCGTCACGTACGAAGAACTCCTCACCTTCTTGCTCGAGGTTGAAGCAGTCCTCAACAGTCGCCCTCTGACATTTGTGTCAACTGAAGATGTCGAGGAGCCGTTAACACCGTCCCATCTATTGTATGGTCGGCGCGTCCTGTCATTTCCGACAGTGTGTCCTGATGACGTCGGTGTCGCGTCAATTCAACGAGATGAGCTTCTACACCGACTCACCCACCTCAACACGCTCCTGGAGCATTTCTGGTGCAGATGGAGAAGTGAGTATCTACTCGAACTCCGAAACGCTCACAGGCGAGGCAATCAGCACGACCAAGGAGCAACAGTGTGCGTCGGTGATGTAGTAGTCGTGCACGACGACAATGAGAAGCGTGGCCTGTGGAGACTAGCGTTAGTCGAAGACCTCATCCGAGGCAAGGACAACAAGGTCCGAGGAGCGGTGATAAAATGCTCTTCCCGCGGAGGACGAGCATCCACCATGCGTCGCCCGGTACAGCGACTGTACCCTGTGGAGGTAGCAAGACCTGCACCAGCCGTCGACGTTCTCGACGAACAATCGCAGGCCCACGTTGCGGACACAGCCTCCGCTGTCCAGCAATCTGGTGCGCACCCCGGCGCCATGCGCCCGAAGAGAGATGCTGCCCGGTCAGCTGATAAGGCCAGACAGCAACTGATTAATGCCGGCTCCTTATAGAGCTGCAGCAGCAATATTCTGTGATTAGATGAGAGCATCACGTTGCACCATGCTCTGTACTCTAGTAGCATCACACTGTTGTAGGAACGAGTCAGGTACATGTAGTACACTAATTTCTAAGCTCTCATCTGGAGGGAGTGTGGAATATTGCATGCTTGTCAATAGTGCATGCTTGTTAGAGATTGCATGCTTGTCAGATATTGCATGCTTGTTAGATAATGCATGCTTGTTAGAGATTGCATGCTTGTTAGATATTGCATGAATAAGAGTATTGTCACAAACTAATGGTTCGCACCAAGCATACATACAAGCACACAAGCAATTGATTATACAGTCTTCTTTCTTCTTTCTATCGTGTCTTCTAAAGTATTTTACTTACCTTTTGCGCCATGGTACGTCTACGACGTTCCCATGGTCTTCACGTACGACATACGGTTTTCTAGCCCTTTTTCCTGGAGCTTGTCTCCTCGTGTCGTTTCTGTTTCATTGGTTTTACGTTGTCTAATGATAAGCAACAGTTTGAGTTTGAGTCTAAGAGAACCCAAGATGCGCTCGCGTTGAGCCAAAGCAGCCTTACAAGATACCATTTTGTAAAACGATAAGCATGCAAGCATGCGCACAACAACAAGAACATGTACGATAATCATGCACCCGGCGCAGTCCGCACCAACGTGCCAAAAGGGGCACACACGGGCCAAAAGGGCAGGGACAACAGATGTACCGTACTCGAATCAGGTTGACCCCCGCCCCCACCGTGTAGGGAGACCTGCTTTTCTGTCTTTCAAAAAAATGAGGATTTTTTAGTCTTCTGAATCACTTTCCCGCATGTGCGTGTATCTGTGTGTCTGTGTGTGTGTGTGTGTCCGGGTCTACGTGTGTGTGTGTGTGTCTGTGTGCGTGTCTGTGTCCATGTGCAGCTCAGACGGAGCCTACTGCCAGTGGTTTGAGGCATTGTTCATCCGCTGGCACACGGACTTTGAGAACCAGTGCAAAGATCGGGCAGCGGCCGTTTTGACTGCACACAAAGTGAGGGGTGTCTTATTGAACATACAGTGAATCTCCGGGATATGTTGTTGTTGTTGTATTCTTTTATTTCAATTCGCTCAGGGCACAGGCAATACTGGATATAATACAGGGCGTCAGAAGGTAATTTAGTGTGGTGTGGTCAGCCATCTGAAGTACAGTTTACGGGTGCGGGAGGGGTGGCTGAACCGAAAATTTTGGAAATTCAGAGCCCAAATCAGGGCATTTTATTGATTCACGGGGTACTTGGGGCAAAGAGTGGTACGGTCGGTGTCCGACACCCCTGTAATACCCTGGATGTCATATACAACCGGGGATGAGGCACTACTGTTGAGAACCGTACGTTAGTAGTTGCCTCCACTACAGTCAGACCTCACTTATCCGGTCCTCTTTTATCCAGATCCCTCACCACCCGGAAGAAAATAGCTGGTTATAGATTTACAGCATACGTGATGCATCCAACATAACCGGTGTTCGGTTGCCCGGTTGTCCGGTTCCCTCGCCCATCCGGATATTTGTGTGGGAAACGGATGTGTGCGGTTAAATGAGGTCTGACTGTATCTCTTTCCCACTTTCTCTTTCTTTCTCTCACTACAAGGAGGAATTTTTCCTTGTGCCAGCGGAGAGGGGTCAACACAATAATGTGGAGCACTATTACACGCAAAGGGCACAAAGGAGGATTACAGAGTTCATCGCAACTCCGAGTTTCTTATCCCTTCCATTGTTGCTCTTTCTCTCTATGTAATTGTATCTCCCTCCCTCCATCTCTCTCAATCTGTCGCCGTGTAACTATTTCACACAGGCCAATAACATTCAGGAATTGACGATCAAAGGCTCCAGTCCGCTTCTCTGTACCCAGTCGGCACAAGAACTGGCTTTCGTCATCGAGCTGGTAAGTTGGCATGCGTGGCTTTAAGTGCCAAATGGGCGTCTCAAGGGTAGTGAAGCATGTGCCCGGTGTGTGTGTGGGGGGGGGGGGCATGTGTGTGTGTATGTGTATGTGTGTGCATGTGTGTTGTTGTTCTTCTTCTTCTTCTTCTTGTCAGTATCACCAGGTGTTCTTGTGCGTCAAATGTGTTCTGGGTTTACTGGTTGTCGGGTCAACGTTTTGTCTCATTTTCTACAAATACTGTCTCCCCAAATATGTACATGTGCCACACTCAACGATTCAACACATATGTGTGTGCATGTGTGTGTGTGTGTGTGTGCGTGTGCGTGTGTGTGTGCGTGTGTGTGTGTTTATGCATGAACGCCTGCATGCACGTGAGCATCTGTCTGTCCACACGTGTGTGTACACGTCCGTCACCTGTTTTCATTCCTACAGCTTTTGAATGATTATAAACAGCTTCTCAGCCACCCAGTCATTGAGCATGCTTTCAGCAGTGCCGAGTGTATCATCAATGTAAGGCATTCACACCTCCAACCCCTAGACGTGTACCGCCTGATAACATTTGAGCTTTGGGGAAATTTCTGCATAGTACTAACCCCTCCTATACACACACACACACACACACACACGCACACACATGCTCTCACACACACACGCGCGCATGCACACGCACATACACAAACATGTGCACACACACGTGCACACACACGCACGTGCACACACACATACACATACCTTAATCAAATGGCCCGATGCATGCTTGTAGTGTATAGCATAAAATAAAAAAACAGCACAACAACACGAGATACACTACTTCTCGCTCAACATTTACTGACATACACAGAGACATACACAGCAAACAGCAGCACACAAGTTCAAGGCTCACCACGACCGTACAAAGCGTCAATAACGGTCATTTGGATTTGACCAATCAGCGCACGGCAAAGCAATTGTGGGGTGTTTTCTGAGTGGTATTCGTTGGTTTTAGACATTTTAGGCCATTGTGGATTCGTGTTCAGAAGGTGTGTCTTTGGAGGGTTACCATCTCGAATTTTTCGATTTGGCCTTCATTTGGCTGAGATCGGATGGTGAAATCACTCAAACGCGAAGGCGTGCGAACAAGTGAATGAAGAGAAAATTAGAAATCGAGGACGGTAAACCGATATAGAATTCCAAGACCTTGAAAATGAGCTATCGATGGTGAGAATCGGCCAAGGAGAACCACTGGTCTACTTTTTTGAGGACATCAAGGTTGGCCGTGCGTCGCCGCGCGCACCAACAAAAACTGGCAGCCGTGCGCATATCTGCAAGTGCAACAAGAAAGGGCGGAGGAGACAGGAAGCGTTCCAAGTGAAGAGTTTATCTTCGTGTTGACTCAAGCTAAGGACTCATGCCAGTCAGGGATCATACCAGTCACCTCTCATCATGGTCATGACCACGAAGAGATTCATTTGTGGCCAGGAAACTCCCCACTCGCAGCGTGAAAGCTGCGAGGCCAAACAGAAAAGAGTGTGCCGAGTCGCGATCAGGAAACGCTGAGTTCTACTGACAACATTGGTTAGCTAGGCGCGGCAAATTCTTGTACATGTCAGGACTCAAGTTCACCAGTACCTCACGGACATATCTTGGTCGACACCCACCAGCGGATTGAGAAAATGACCAAGATGGCTTGGAGAAAGGACGTCTTCTCCGCGTGTCTTTCCCGACATCAAACAACAAGATTCGCTTCGGCACTGGCCCTTCGCTGTACAGAGTAGACCAGGGAGTCATAAAATACCGGTATTTTACGACTAGACTGTACATCGATGAGCATGAACTCGGGTGCGTAGCCGCTATGACTGCACAAACTCTGGCCTTGGCGGCATCGCCATGTTTTCAAAATGGTGGTCGACGCTTTTTGAATTTTGTATGGTCGTGGTGAGCCCTGAAGTTGAAGGGTAGTTGGCCTCAGTCAGATGTGACTACGCGAGAAATCATTTCTCGCTTATCTCGCTGCACTCGGCCGGAGAGAACACAACTTTGCTCATTTCTTCCGCTTCCGCTTAGGAACTGCATCTGCGCCTTGATCCTAGAGGGTTCCTGCGGATGCGGAAAATTTGGCCTCCAGCCGAGTCTCACGCGAACCGTGAATGTTTTTCTTCCGTGGCCTCCCAATACAAGTCAACAACAATGTGTGTGTGCGTGCGTGTGTGTGTGTGTGTGTGTGTGTATGAGTGTGTATGTGTGCATGCATGTGTGTGCACGTGTCACCGTCACCTGTGCTGGACAGACGGTGTACCTGATCACGAGAACAGCACTGAACGAACACTGGCTGCAGCAGCTGACCGCAGAGCTTGACACATCCCATGGACGGCAAACCTCAATTGAAACGGTCAGTGTCGGGGGGGGGGGGGACATCATGGGACCTTTTTGCAACTCTTACAATATGAATAGTTTGGGTAAATAGTACCGTGTTCGTGTACATAAAATTCATTTTTCGTGGTTCTCAGTAATTGTGTTGGGTTAACCCCCCCCCCCCCCCCCCCCACACACACACATACACATACCGTAAAAGCAAAACATTTTGGTGGTGTTTTACTTTCGGTAACTCCGGTGACGGCAATTTTTACCGAAAATAAAACGCACCAAAAATTTCGGTACCAGTACGACTCGTACTAGTACACTTGCCTGGAAAAAGGGGTCTGCCGAAAATTTCCCTCCACCGATCCGCCGGTCTCGGAGAATACCGAAAATATTACACCGCCGAAAATTTCTGCTTTTACAGTACCCCAATGGTGATGCTTTGTTTGCCCACAAAAGAGGCTTTTTCGCAAACCGGGAACGTGCACAGGACGATGGCGAGGCGGGCTGCGGGCCACCAGCTCGTAGATCTACAGTGGCGCTCACTGAAATCCGACCCAAGGTGCGAAACTGGCGCCCTGGACCAGGTACGATGACGTCACTTTACTTGTGCATGCGTACGACCAGCCGCATCCGTACCACTTCCAGGGTGCCAAGGGCGATGCGAGTTCAGGGCGCAAGATATGCACTTTGGGTCAGGTTTCACCAAGCACAACTGGACTATAGTACTGTCGGGCGCCGAAGAACGGCCAGGCTGGAGTTTCACCAATTTTTAAGAACGGTGTAGGCTAGATTTTTTGCAGATAAGAACGGAAACCGCAATATACACTATAATGTACACTCAGACGTACAACTCTGCATAAATGTACGCGTCAGACTGTATCATCAAATAAGAACGAAACTGCTGTGTTCGCTAAAGATAAGAACGGGCTAGGCTAGAACCCTTACCCCCAGTTCTTCGGCTCCCGACAGTACTGTAGCCTCAATTCCTATGTTCCGTGATTCATCAAATACACGTGTTGTCCCTGCCTGTTTAAGGTCAAACGGGGTGAGCCATTTAAATGTAGCGTAAAACCATGGGCTGCCAAAATGTCGGCACCCAACAAACACTCCTCGGTTAGACCAGCAACAGCCAATACCCGGGCGGAGAGCGTAATGTTGCCAAAGGCAAATGTCAGGGGTAAACAGCTCTTGACGTCTAGGGTACCCCACCCGCAGTGTAGAGTGGCGATGCACCCAACTCAGAGGCAGGACGTAATAACCGTCCTGCATTCAACTTCTCCACAACAGCAAAAGTCACCAATGTGATGACTGCACCTGTGTCCACCAGACACGACACAGCTGAACTAGCCCTATCGGTGGCCAACGTACCTTGTGCAAAGAGACTGGTGCCGGCGCGGTGGATGTAGAACGGAACCGCGTCGGTGTTAGCCATGACAGCCCCCACCGGGAGGGAATCCAATAACTCGACCGGAATGGACGGTGGGGTGGACAGCCGGAGTGGCAGCCGGAGTACATAGGTGAGATTCCGCCGGAGTGTGCTCGAAAGCACACACAGACAGAGAGGCAGCATTAGAAAACAACACAGGCTCAATATCTCAGGAATCGTACCTGCCAGAACCGCCACCGACTCAGCGGGGTCGGCGTCACTCATGCACACATGCATACATGTATCAAAGTCACACTCATTCTCATCCTCTACAAAATAGGGAGGGCTACAGCTATTTCCTCAGTAGAATCAACACGCCTAGGTGAGGCGGTGGGACGACCCGCACCAGCCGCCTCATCTAGTTTAAAGATCTAGTGTTACCCTGGTGTTCACGAGGATTACGCCCGCGGTCACATGGATTTGAGTGGCAATCGCGGCGGAGGTGACCAAGTTGGCCGCAACCAAAACAGCATGGACCTCGTGACCAGCGGTCAGGAGCCGGACTCTCGCGCTGCGCACAGAGGTTTTCAAGCAGCCTGGTTTGCGGTGCACATAGTTTCTCCAAACTATCCAGGCGCGCCGTGATTTCAGGCGTGGCCGACGCGACGAACACAGGTTCAGCGGCCGGGTGCAACTGATCCTGCGTCTCCAGGACGACTGCCTTTTGAACGGCATACATTACCGTTTGCAGCTCGTGGTCCCCCACACGACGGCGCATGTAGGGAGACAAAGCGTCCAAAAAAGCACGGATAGACACGGTGTTAACCCTTTCCATGCCATGGACGCGTATACGCGTTTTTTTAGTATGAGCCGATTGGCCACGGACGCGTTTACGCGTTCTGCCTACACTGTACAGTACATGTGTATCGCGCGCTATAGACGAGTGTACAGACTGTTGTAACTCCGTCAAAATATCTCGGACTGCTAAGGTTGAGACACCGCTGTAAAGGTCTTGAGCTCATCTTTCCAGGGATATAAAGTTCTTCGCGATACGATAAGGTATGACCGAGCGGCGATAAATTGAACGGCCAGAATGCGCAAATTTCATTTTTTGGCGATCGATTCCAATTTTTGTTCGCGATTTCGTGCGGGCTAGGGGATTTCCCTAGACACAGCGCGTGCGCAGTCAGCTGCAACAAACGCGCTTGAATATCAGCTTTCCAACGCAGTTTGAATCGTGAAAATCAGTTCACAATGAGCAAGAAGACGAAAGAAAACATGAGAGGCAGTCGTTTTGTTATTTTCAGGCATGGTAGGGGGACTTTGAGAGGAGATGGAAGTGGCCCTGGTATGCCTGTCGCGCTGTGAGTCCCTGACATGGCTTCCTGTTGTCCAGATCTTTCCAACAAGCCATGGATCGTGAAAATCCATCAAGGTACAGTGAAATAGCAATAAATTTCGTTCTGAGGTGCGCGTGCAGCTTTGAACAGTTGAGCTCAGCGCCTGAACAATGCGTGGCCAACACATGAAAACATGCTGGCATGGAAAGGGTTAAGAATGGTACCAGGCGCCCCCGGATATGCCTTAGCCACCAATACCTGGATGGCGTCACCCAATTCAGTTAGGGTCTCAATCGCCCAGCGTTTCCGAGCCTGAAGCTCAGTTTGGCGGAGCAAGTCCTTGCCCGTGTCACCAAATCAAGCATGCAGGGCGGTCTCGATCTCCGCGCGATCCTCCCGCTGCGTGTCCGACAAGGATTGCAACATGAGAGCCGCACTGCCAGTGAGGCTCTTACATAACACAACACGCGCCATTAATTCCAATCTCTCCCGGGAGGCCGCATCAACCGTGTCATGGGGTTGGGCAACCGGGACATAATTATTGGCCTGCAAACATAATCGGAAATCGTTCATGAAGGCCTGGAGATCCTCCGCCGAGGAACCACCGAACGGTTTCAGCGTCAGCCATCTTCCAGGCGCTTCTACTGTAACCTTAGACATGGGGCCACAACTACTCCAGGTAACGAAATACGTGGGAAAAAACTACTCTCGGAGGGAACAGGGACCCAGAGCAAGACTACGTACGACACAAGCAGGCCAAAACTAAACAAATCTCACAATACTGGATTTACAAACTAATGCCCCAACAATGTCTAGCAGTAAACTAAAAGCAGCTGCTCTGGCTTACCTGAATTGCCTCGCTGGCGGCTAGCTTGGACGCGCGAAGGAGACGTGCCGAGACAAGAAGCACACGGGGATCGCCAAAGAAAGCAGGAGGCAGGTGAAGAAAAAGAGAAACCGGAAAGACCGCGGACGACAGGACGATCGCAGGCTCGTGGGGACGATGCCACTAGCCGGGCGCCAATTGTCGTCGGTGGGGGGGGGGGGGGGGGGGATTAGTACCTGACGCGTGTGGCACCCAAGTAAAAAACAGGATGTAGTACGCGACCGAGTGACAAGGCAAAACTGGTTCAGTCTGTCCGACTCAAAACACAGGTAGTATTCTCAGGGAACAATATTGCACGAAAAGACAAACGTAGGTAGCACAGAACTAACTTATAGTATATTGAAAAACTCAATAAGTGAAGGTAAGACGACAGAAACAACGGAAGCAAAGACTCTGCAACAACTGAGCTGGGCAACTGACACACGGATCTATATACGGTACGAGATTGCCAGTTACAGCTCCGAGCGCTAGCTAGCGAATGAAAAGCAAGGGATCTGATGGTGTCAGCAATGCATAGTGCAATACATAGTAATACATAGTGATTTGTGTAGGGGAAAGTCCGTCTACTACACAGGACTCAATATTTGTATTTTAGCCTTCCCGGTCGAATTTTGAGAGTTCTATAGTGTTGATCCTCCAACCGAGTTACCATGGAATATTACAAGATTCTCTATTGTTAGCTGAGGACTGCATTTAAAGTGAAGCATTGGGTGGCAACCAGGGAGTCGTACTCAAACTAGGGAGGTGACACGGCACAGAAATCCGTGTCACAGGGGTTGACTCGCACCCGTGACCCCTCGTTGTTATTTTTGGAATAGTTCAGTCCAGTCCAGTCCGAAAGGTCATACTCGGATCGACTCGCCTTCTGTACTTCACCTCCAAGCGTGCAGCATGGGTGTCTAGTTTTTGAAATTATTGAGGCAGCACATTTCGTTTACAGCCCATCACTCGCCAGTATTCTTTGAAAGACTACCAGCAATTTGTTTACCTCCTGCCATGTCCGAACTACTTGATAGCAGTGATGGCAACAGCAGCAGTTATGAGACAGCGTGTAGTGTTACGGTGACTGTTCAGAACTGTTCAGAGTCGTATCCTAGGTTAATCCGAATACGAAAAATTGACCCAAATTGCACATAACACGAAGCTGGTTTTTGAAAATTGTAAGTCGTGTATCTGCCCCATTTCTTCTTTATGACTTGCACAATACACCAGTCTTCCTAAACAACACATTTATAGCAGGGGTTAAGTACCATATAAGCGAAGTACAGCCAGTGATATTGTCATGTTGAAATACTACAATTTTGACACAAATTACACATAACACGAAGCCAGGTTTTGAAAAATGTAAGTCGTATATCTGCCCCATTTCTTCTTTATGACTTGCACAATGGTCCAGTCTGCCTAAATAACACATTTTGGCAGGGGTTATGTACCAT